AAACGAGTGCCAACGGAAACAGGCAACGATTGGCTCAACTGATTTCCAAAGGGTTTTCCAAGAGCAATTGGTCCTCGGCGGTGGGGTCCCGGAAAATGTACTTTCCGACTTTCCCAAATGACTTGCCCGCTTTTCGTGGCCACACGCTTTTCCAGCCGCCCGCCGGTGGGGTCCAAGCCTTAGTTGTGTTTTTTTTGGGTGTTGTCATCATTGTCGATGTCAGACCGTTTCACGAATCCGTTTTCCATGGGCCAACAGAGTGATTGTTTCAGGCATTACACACTGTAGAAGACATGTTTATGGTGTGGTCGTCTGCATTGGGGCCCAAAAATCGTCCTGGTTCATTACCTGGCGGCCCATGTCTTCCCAACGTTTGCCGATAGCTAGCACACACACAGTAGGTGCACTGCACCTAGACTGAGCCGCCAGCCAAAGAAAACAAAAAAAAGGGCAAGGTGTGCCAGAGGGCACTAAAGTTCCTCTGAAGTGCTATATCGTCATCATGACCCACCGCGCAAGAAAGAGAAAAGAAAACCAAACTTATGCCCGATTCTTGAATAAAAAAGCAATATCGCATTTCTTCTGAATAAAAAAACGCATTTTCGGCTGTCACACCGTTGAGTTACCTCAACTCAACGGTGCATGTGGGACAAGGTCCCAGGGGCTCGGACCCACTAGCCGAGTTTATTACAAGTTCGTGAGGATTTCGAGCATGTGTGGCCCCAAGTGACATCTTCTGCCCGTGGATGCCATTCCATATCCACGCATGCGCGCTGCCCGTTAGGATATCTGAAAATCCCATGGCTTTTCACCAATCCCCGCCTCCTAAAATATGTGACTTGTGATTTTCCGAAATCCAAAACTGCGCTCAGTTGGTCTCGTTTCTAAGACTCCAAAAAGGGGGGGTGTTTTCAAGACTTCGCCTGCATGATGAATTGCAGTAAAAAAGAAAATTTTAAAATTGTGTCCTCTGACATCCGTGACATTCGGGCTGCCTGTGCCCCCCCCCCCTCTCTGCTGGTTGTGAGGCTGAACGAAAACTTGCTTGTGAGGCTGGTGCGCCTGCGAAAAATGAATGGAGTCCGGTTTCACGATATGTTCATGTTTGTGATACATGCAAGTACCTTTTTTTTTTTTTTTACCGCGTGGGAAAATAGCCGGCCTCGGGTGGGCCTCCGACCTTTTCGGATGGCCGAAACGAAACGACGGCCGCCGATCAGATTTATCAATGGCAGCCGTCGTCGGGCCCGGCCTACGAATTTTCAGGAGTTTGGGAAAACGTCCACTTTTCCCTAATTTCCCAACACTGGCGGAGGTACTAGGGCTTGAACAAGTCTCCAATCTATTCGTGGGGAGCAACACGTGCTGGGAACTGGGCCCAGCGTCCCATATGGAAATTTACATAGAATCTGGAAATTTTGAGATACCGGTAGAATCTGGAAATTTTGAGATACCGGGGCCATTACCCGGCTTTGGCTAAGAAAAAAGAGAGCTACTTAGAAAATTACTACGACGAAGGTCAGAAATAGGCAAAATTCCGAAAATGACTCAGAGGCCCCCCATCAATCCTCTTTACCTCACTCCGGCAAGACTTACTGCAGCAGAGCCACCATCTCCGCTGCTGCTGTACCCTATTTTCATCCTTCAAGCTAGCCCCCTCACTAGTAGGACGCTTGATAACCCACCATCTACTTCTCCCACTCACCTCTTTTTTGAGAAACAAAGGCATATGCACAATTCAGAAAAAGACTCAGACACCCCCTATCAATCCCTGTACCCACTCCAGCAAGACTTACTGCAGCAGAGCCACCATCTCCGCTGTTGTTGCACCCTATTCCCATCCTACCAGCTAGCCCCCTCGCTAGTAGGGCACGTGGATACCCACCATCTCCTTCTCCCACTCACCTCGATTTCCCCTGTACTCCACTCCGGCAAGACTTACAGAGCCCCCATCTCCGCTGCTGCTGTGCCCTATTCGCATCCTAAACAATCTTGAGAATTTGAGCTAAGAACAATCTGAGGAGCACGACAAGAGTTCAGGAGAAATTTAAAAAAAACTTGGATAACTACTGGTTTCGACTAAGAACCATCTAAGAATTTCAAATAAGAACGATCTGAGAACTATGAAAGAAATTCAGAAGAATTTTAAAGAAAACCATGGATAGCTGCTGACCTACCGACCTAATGCTAGGTTACTCAAGCCGCAATAACTAAGTCTTTTTGTTTTTTGAAAATATCTGGAAAGGCATAGAAAACTATATGAGAGGGGTGTCAAAACGGAAACAGCCTACTATCGAAAATTCCCCCCTCAACAGACGGAAAGTCTGTCTAGGCTTTCAGTCCTCGTACCAGAACTCACTTGATCTTACACACCCTTCATGCTAGGGTAACAAGGCACCGCAACCTTTCCCAGTTCTGGCCAACCTAGTTCTGACGGACAGGAAGTGCCTTCCTCCCTCGACACTACCCTTAACGGCAAGCCCCTGAACAGGTTACAGGGTTAATACCCCGGCGTCCGCTTCGTCGAACGATCTGGTTATGCCTTCCACCCTCAACATAACTCCACAAGCCTCAAGCTCCCCCCAGGTCACAGAGCCAAAGCTTCAGCACCGGCCTGTGTCGTCCCAACTTCGTTCTTCTGACCTACTTGCCTAACATCCATTCCTGCATTGAGACCTCCTAACTAAATTCCATCCTCTGCTTCTAACCCCCCCCCTGCCCTCCTTCAGAGGAATTTGACTCAGACAAAGGCAGAGAAAACCCCTTCCACCTCCACAAAACGAGAGGAAGGGAAGGAAAAATAACCCCTCATCCTGTTGTGGTTCCGGTGTCTATTCGAAGCTCAACCAATCATGAAGAACTCACAAAAAAATTCCGGAGATTACTCCTCCCTCAAAAACGTCCCTCTGTTCATACACTGCCTCCGCCAGAAGGTGCCCCCTCACCACACCGGCCCCAGTTCAGAACAGCCCCCTAAACGGTCATTCCCGCTCCCTGAGCAGCACACAATTCCCCCTAGAGTATTCCCCCGCAGAGCTGGAATTCCCCCTTTCCTCCTGTCCCACCCCCTCCCAGTGAAACAGCCCTCTCTACCTCCCATCTTGTTGAATTCAGCACCCCTTGTCCACTTTCCCCAACCGCCATACTGATCCGACCCAAAGATCAGCACGGCTCAGAAAAGGACAACCCACAATACGGCCCCTATCCTCTCAAGGGCAACACCTCCCACCTTGTGTAGCTCTCGTAGGGAGGAGCTCCAATCCTGAGGAAATAACCTCGATCAATACTTGTGAGCCCAAGCCCTACAAAGCTCGTGTTGAGCCTCAAGATTTCCATACCCCCCAAAACAAACTAAAATAGAGAGTCTAAAGGTGTCGACACATCACAGGTTGAGACCCCTTTGCTGAGACTAATTACTAAGTAAAAAGTAAATAGCATCGAAATCAGAAAATCCATCAATACAAATAAGATGGAAGTAGAGAAATCACTAAGACTTATTACAAGTAAAAACTAATTAGCATAAAAAACAGGAAATCCATCAGAATACAGAAAGGATTGGGAAAAGGAAAATCGCTCAGACTGAATATACGATTGGATGACTTTGAAAATCCAAAGGAAACACAATAGAAAAACGAT